GCGGCAGGTCAAAGGTCAACCAATGATGTTTACAAAAGAGAGCTTGGCTCATGATTTTACCTTTATACTATCATCAAAGACCCTCGCTTGGGCAGTGGCCCTCTGCTTCTTGATACCGTCGCACAAAGCACCCTTTAGCGTCTGCATGAGACGCACCGAGCTTTCAAGAGACTCCGACGTAAACCCATCCGCGTCATTATTAGACGTAATGAGATCACGTTGCTTTCCTTGTCTGATGTCCTTTTAGCTTTGTCATAATGTCCTCTCAGAAGTACACTTGGTAAGAACATTATTTGTATTGTCCACAATGGGAATGAGGATAATGAAGGTAAGCCTTAAGTTGTAATGAACCTTTAAAGCTGCATTACTGACTTTTTATTTTTACCACTAGGGGGCAGCTCAACAAGCTGAAAACACAAAATTTATATATATAATGAAGTTGATGTGGCGAATCTTGCGTTGATTTTGCGTCGTATTTGTGTCCACCTGACACAAGTCTAATGTTTCTACTTTCTTTTAGTTCCGTTTTTGGTCTCTATCAACTCCTGAGGGAAATATCTGTTTTCTTTTTGCCGCTAAATGCTATACTTTGTTCACCAGCTGTTTTCTGCTGAGTGGGTACTGTAGTGGCTTTATCAGGATATTGAACTTGTATTAATTGCCACAAAACCAAAAACACTGATCTGAACGATGCTAAAATGCTCCATCGAGCTGAGTTGAAGATAATTCTTTGTGGCTTCTTCACGACGGGCAGCACCTTTCACAACACACAAAGTCACGTAATCCAATGTGAGAGTAATACAAAATGAATGATTAGGACAGTTTTTAGTATGCTAAGATCTCCAAAACGCGGCTGTTTGCACACTGAATCAGCAAAAGTGAGTCATCGCATTTAATTAGTGATGCAATAGCATGAGAGCCAACATACACACACACACTCACACACACACACATACATACATAATCCCTCCCTCATTAGGTGTATTGTGGGGATGCTGATGTAATTCAAGTTAATCTGTTGGCCTCTGGTTGGCTCGCTGGCCCAGCGGGAGCTCTTTGTGTGGGACATTACCCCGGCCACGGCCCCGCCCCCTGGAGACAGGTTCATTAAGACTGACGCTGATACCCAAGTAGCCAGGCCTTTTGTGTGTGTGTGTGTGTGTGTGTGTGTGTGTGTGTGTGTGTGTGTGT